CAACTCTTGATACCCTTTCACTGAGGTCTATGCATCTAACAAGGCACATGCTAGCTAGTGGTCCGAATTTTTAAATTATGTTGCTGTCTGTTAAATGGAAACATTAAAACAAAATGATAGGCCTACATTTATGATATTTAATTAAATGATTGAATTATATATATATTGAGCCGTACACAGCTTAGCAGTCGTCTGGAGGAGCCCTTCCCATATGTTTTAGCAGAATCAACACTTGTCATTTTTTCACTGTTGGTTGATTCAGAAAACATGTGGTGACCAAAATCTAGAATAAATTGAGGGATGCTTTTAAGTGCTTTGGATTTTACTGTGTGTGTTACATGCCTTTGGGTTGGCTCCAAGTCCTGCCAAGCCTGTGAATGAGTGATGTCCTACAATGTCCTGTCCTTAAGAGCCCTGCTCAGTTCCTGTAGACTCATGTCTAAGGCTTCTTCTATGGAGCCAATCCATCTCACATTCCGTCATCTTCTCTTCCTGCTGCCTTGTTTTTTTCTCAGCATTATTGTCTTTTCCAAAGAACCCTGCCTTCTCATGATGTGCTCAAAGTGGGACAGCTGCAGTTTTGTCATTTTTGTCTCCAGCGATGTTTCAGGCTTCATTTTCTTTAGGGCCGCACCTGTTCATCCTTCTGGTGGTTCAGGGCATCTGTAGATCTCTCCTCCAGCACTGCCCAGTTTTCATCACAGTAAAGTCACCTTTCTGTAGAAACATAATGTGTGAAATACATTGTGACTACATAGTGGAGCTTGGTATGCTTATGGATTCATAGCTTCCTCACAAATACTCCTTTGGGTGCTGCAGTTGATTGCAGCCCATCATGTGGAATCATTGGTGTAGTCAATTGCTCTCATTCCAGAGTTGAACTAACTGTGGCCAAGAAGGGACGTGATTTGTTTATCTTCATATAACTTCTAAGTACCCTACAATAATTAGAATCCAGAATTGCTCAATTTTGGTCTTCCATGCTTTCCCCCACACTAAAATATTTCATTGTGTTTGCTCATGACCTCTTTGAAAATCCAGTGGACTGTTAGCCCGGAGAAAATGTACATGTGTGCATCCATGTGAAATTCCTTACATAGTCCTAAGAGAGTTCACAAACCTGTTAGAGGCTACTCACAAGCCCCAGATAATAACACTCGTCAGAATGATCAGCTTGCCGCTGTGTTGAAAACCAAGTGATCTGGGAGGCAGTCAGAGTGGGTATCCAGAGGCCAATTCTGAAATCCCAAAGATTGAGGGTAGTTTTTAGACCATATTTAAAAAAAAATTTCCCTTGATTTTAACAGGAAATGCTTGATATAATGTACATTTATTAGAAGCTTTATTGGAGCTATAAATAATGTTTTTGGAGAGTGCTTTTAGAATCTAGACCTCTAAAAATTTTTTTAAAGGAAAAAATCTAACTCTCACTCTTATTTCACTAAATTAATTGAACATACACACACACACACACACACACACACATGCAAAAACAACAAACAAAAGGAAAAAATGGAGAGTGAAAATCTTTCCTGCTTAACTCTGTGGTGTTTTAAAAAGTAACGCCAGCCTTTATCGAGAGAGCGACAGGGAAGTTAATAATGTGACTCATAAATATGGAGGAGCAGGATCCAGAGACAGTGCCTGCCGATTCCTGTGGCTTCTGGTTGCCAAGAGACAAAGTTTGACCCACTTAAATTAAGTTTAGTGGTCTAACAAATGCCAAATTTATGATAAAATGTTGCCTTTTGTGGTAGAAAATTTCTATTTAAAATATACAGTCCTTTTAAAGTGTAATCTTCTTTCTAAATAATGACAAATACATGCAGCTTTTAAATTGAGGTTCTTTATTCTTTCTTTTTTTGGGTTAGCATTCACGTTGCAAATTCTAAACAATGATGCCTTCTCCTAGATAGTCAAAACAATCTAACACAGAGGTTTTGCTTCTAGAATACATTCTTTTTGCCAAAAATTCTGAAGGCTTTACTTTTTGATGCTGGTGTATTTGGCTGCGTGCAAATAACTACTAGTCGAACTGAGGGGAGGGGCAACAGGAGGAAAGAGCTTCCTGAGTGACTATGACTGCCTTCCTTTCGGTATCTTTTCAGTCCTGGTGCACTCAGCCAAGTTCTTCCAAAACACCGAGGAATAAAGAGGACTTTATCTGTAATGAGGCTGACAACAAATCAGCATTGTATGCCTTAAGTTTCAGCCTTCTGAAAAGAAAGGTTAAAAAAAAAGAGACTATAAGAAATGAATGATAGCATTTTTCTGTGAATGGTTTAAATGTATAAATAGTTGAATCATGAATATTTAACTTCTAATTGAATATTAAACAATTGAAATGTAATTGCTAAATATTTAATTAATTTATCTATGTAAACTTGGAGTGCTGGACTCATTTATTTATTGAACAGTATTTTGCCGAGTGACTACCATGGGTCAAGAGCCATTCTAGACATGGGATCAACAAAGAACAGAGCATGGAGTTACCCTCATGGGACTTATGTATTTGTGGGTTCTGGTTTGAAGTCTTTTAAGCAGTGCATTGCTCTATGATTGATGTGTAAACCCACAGCCTTCCATTGATTTAGAAAAGCTGTTTAGGGCAGCTTGGAAAACTGCTTCAGAGCACAGCTGCTGATACCTTTCTTCTTCTTTTTATCCCTCCTCCTCCTTCTCTTCCTCCTACATTGCTTTTGATATCAATATAATTAGAGATTAAGCTTGTTTCATTCTATCAAGAGTAGGTGGTGGTAGCCATAACTAGTGTTCTAAATATTATAATTATCAATTATTCTATCTTTTGGAAAATGTGGACATTCTGTTTTTCATAAGTGCTAGTTTTTTTAAAAGTCATTAAAAATCTTGCCCTGGCCGGTTTGGTTCAGTGGTTAGAGCGTCGGCCTGCGGTCCTGAGAGACCGGGGTTCGGTTCCCGCTGAGGGCGCGTGCCTCGGTTGCAGTTTGTCCCCGGCCCTGGTCGGTTGTGCGGGTGGCAGCCACTCGATGTGTCCCTTCACATCGATGTTTCTCTCTCTCTCTGTTCCTCTCTCTCCCTCCCACTCTACCTGAACAAAAAACAAAATGGATAAAAAATAAATAAATAAAAGCCATTAAAAATCTTCTGAGGAAACGATCATCTGACTATTTTCTTACCCTTACCTAAACATCAAGACGAAGTAAAGATGATAATCACCTCCTTTTTCATTATAGACAGTTTTCAATAAACAATTCAATAAAAGGCTTTTTAAATTAAATGTATTGGGATGATATAGGTTAATAAGCTTATATAGGTTTCAAGTGTATAATTCTATGATATATCATTTATATATTGCATTGTGTGTTTAACACCCCAAATCAAATCTCCTTCCGTTACCACATACTTGACCTCCTTTACCCTTTACTATCCCCACCCACATTGCCTCTGGTAATCACTAAACTGTGGTCCATGTCTGTGAGTGGATGGATCTTAGAATATCATACTGAGTTAAATAAGTCAGACAGAAAAGGACAATACATTTTTTAAAATAGATTTTAGAAAGGGAAGATGAGAGAATGAGAGAGCGAGAAAGAGATTTGTTGCCTCACTTATTTATGCATTCATTGGTTAATTCTTGTATGTGACTGGGGATTGAACCTAAAACCTTGGCAAATTCGGGTGACGCTCTAAACAACTGAGTTACCTGGTTAGGGCAATAAAAGGTTTTTATTTGTGTTTTATTTTGAATTCTGTCATGGGCTTTAGGCAGCTTGTTATAATTTCATTTTTTTAAATGTTTGAGAAAAGAAAAAGTAATACATATTTCTTTTTTAATTTTTTCCCCTTTATTGATTTTAGAGAAAGGAAGGGAGAAGGAGAGAGAGATAGAAGCATCAATGAGAGAGAACATTGATCGGCCACCTCCTGCATGCCTCCCACTGGGATTTGGCCCACAGCCTGGGCATGTGCCCTGACTGGGAATTGAACCAGCAACCTCTTGGTGCATGGGTCGACACTCAACCACTGAGCCACCGCAGCTGGGCGAGTAATAAGTATTTCTAAGAAAAAGGAAAGTTATTTCCCCTGTTCTTCTGAGGTGGATACTATTGACCTTTTGAAATTCACTATGCAGGTTTTCACACCATGTTTGAAGTAAACCAGTCAAGTGCAGGTGGGGTATGAATCCTACCTTGGGATTCAGTGGAATAGGGCGACAAGATGTGTGCTGAGGCCCAGAATTAGCTTTAGCATCCTCACTTTTACTTCCTTGGTCTGAACTGCCATGACCTTTCACCTGGATTATTCTGATGGTTCTCCCTGCTTCTGCCTCTAGCCTCTGGCAGTGTATTCTCAATACAGCAGTCAGATGATCCTTCTGAATTGTCACTGGTATCATTTAGCTGCTCCAAGTCCTCTGGTTTATGATCTGTCCCCTCACAAGAATAGAGGCTCCATTAGGGCAGCAGATGTTATATGCTTGGCCACTACTGTATCCCCAGCGCTTGGTAGAATACTTGATATACAGCCGTCCCTCGCCACTTCATGCTTTGACTTTCACAGCTTTACTCTATTGCGATTTTTTCAAATATCTTCATTAAAAAGTTGATCGAGACCTGGCCGCTGCATGGCCATAGCTTTTGTGGTGGATCATAATGAGTTCTAACTTCAACTCGACTGCTCTTAAAGATTTCCATGTACCTGTGCCCTACTCTTTCCTTGTGCTTCTTAGAGCCTTTTCAGCTATTTCCTGTGAAGCTAATTGCACGAAGGCCTCCCCCGTACTCCTCCCCTGGAAGCCACCGGCAATGTTATCCCATTTGGCACAATTTCCAACCCTGAGAAGACCTGAACAATTTCTTCCTTGCTACATCTAAGCCATACAAAGCCATCATTGGCCGTGTCAGGACTATTTGGACTAGTATGCTTCAATACCCAATCCATATCACCGTTGTTTGACTTGAATACTTCAACATATCTGTGTCCCATAGTTTCTCTGTCTTTTCTCAGGACCAATTTGACTTCATCTTCTGATTCAAGTTCAGCCAGGTCCCTATGACAGACCTGGGGCTGGCAGAGGGTATAACAGCATTGGCAGGGGAGCTAGCTTTGAAAAGATGAGGCGTGGTACTTATGGTGGAGGGTATGGAGGCTATGATGATTATAATGGCTATAATGATGGCTATGGTTTTGGGTCAGATAGATTTGGAAGAGGAATGTCTGACCATAGATATGGAGATGGTGGCTCTACTTCCCAGAGCACGATGGGACACTGTGTACACATGCGGGGATTACCTTACAGAGCTACTGAGAATGACATTTATAATTTTTCTTCACTGCTCAACTCTGTAAGAGTATATATTGAAATTGGTCGTGATGGCAGAGTAACTGGTGAAGCAGATGTCGAGTTTGCAACTCATGGAGATGCTGTGGCAGCTATGTTGAAAGACAAAGCAAATATGCAACACAGATATGTAGAACTCTTCTTGAATTCTACAGCAGTAGCAAGCAGTGGTGCTTATGGTAGCCAAATGATGGGAGGCACGGGCTTGTCACACCAGTCCAGTTATGGTGGCCCAACCAGCCAGCAGCTGAGTGGTGGTTATGGAGGTGGCTATGGTGGCCATAGCAGCAGGAGTGGATATGACCAAGTTTTACAGGAGAACTCCAGTGATTTTCAATCAAACATTGCGTGGGCAGCCAAGGAGCAGTGAACAGCAGCTACTACAGTAGTAATGTATATTGATCCTTATCACTGACTCTTGGTCAACATTATTTTAAAGGGAAAAAAAAAAACCCAAAAACTTAAGTTTAACAGTTTTGCAATACCAGCTTGTGATTTATGCTTACTCTAAGTGGAAATCAGGATTGAATTAAAGACTTAAGGTTCAGTATTTTTTAACACATATTTATCTAGGATGTAACAACTAAGTTGAATAAACTATAACTGTTACATGATTTTTAGCTTTTCTCATTAGTTCTATTGTAGGATGTACTTAAGCAGTAAGTATATTTAGGTTAAAGCAGTTGAATTATGTTAAATGTTGCTCTTACACATTACTTTGAACACTGTTTGGAAGCATGTTGAAAGATATGCTTTTTTTTTTTTTTGTAAAACTAAATATAGGAACTGTGTCTACAATTAAAAGTGAAATATTTGGCATGTTTGTTAATTCTAGTTTCAGTTAATAACTTCTAAGGCATGTAAGTTTAGGCTTTTTTTTTTTTTTAAGTTAATGGGGAACATTTGAGATGCAATACCAATACTTTAGGATTTTGGTCTTGGTGTTTGTATGAAATTCCGAGGCCTTGATTTAAGTCTTTCATTGTATTGTGATTTCCTTTTATAGGTGTATTGCGCTAAGTGAAACTTGTCAAATAAATCTTCCTTTAAAAAAAAAAGTTGATTGAGACAGTGAAAATGATACAGCACGTGCTCGTTTGTCTGAGTCAATTATACACTCCTGTATTACAATTAAAATTAAAATTACTGCACATATGGACTGTAGGCCTATGTATTTCAGCACCTCAGGAATCCTTCAACGCCAGGTGCAACCACTAGAGTGTGGAACGAATTAACAGCGACAAATGAGGGACTGATGAAACAAGGAGGGAAACTGTGTTATAAGGCCAGCGAGATACGGAATTGTGGAAGAGGGGCCAACCAGTGGAGCTCTAGTCAGGGATGGCTGCCGATTCTACTAGAGGTGCAGCTCTGGGATGAGGATGGTGGAGAATAACATCCTGAGATCTCTCTTCTGTACTCTGCATCCCTATTGCCGACCATTAACCAGCCCAGCTGGAAGCCAGGCGAGAAGGAATCCCAACTGTTTCTCTTCTTGGCATTAGCTTTCTTGGAATTAAAGCAGGGCAGAGAAGTATAGAGAAGGTATTTGGAGAGGATGGAGAAAGGGGGGCACAGGGGATCATCACCATAGGACATAATCATACCTCTGATTTTCTCACTGATCAGACCACACCTAGGTGGCTCTGCTAATTTTGGCCATCACCTCCTGATAGGGTCACTTACAGACAAAACCCAAAAAACAAAACACAAGCTATTTAAATATACATCATTGCAAATGTAGGGACTGGGATTTTTAAGTTTGAGACAACATGATTTAAGAGAACATACAGAACTGACTACATAATTTGTAAGGCCTGCTGCAAAAGGAAGATATGGGAGCGTTGTTGAAAAGTTATTAAGACTATCAGATCAGTGACAGTGGAGGAGTAAACCAAAGATGCTGCCATTCTAGGTCTCACTCCCAGGTTGTATGTCCCTATAGCAGCCCTGGGAACATGTCGGCCTCCATCCAGCATTTGAAGGAGTGGCATGTGTATGATGGGGTCAATGGATAAAGCTTAGCCTGTGCATTAAGACAGTAAAAAGCACACCCAAGGAAGGGCACTTTATCAAGTGTTCTTTGCTTGCGTGTGTTAACAGTTTGATCTGTTTGATAATGTAATAGATTTCCTCTAGCTGGAATTGTTTGTGTTGAATTTAACTATAGTCTGTCAGAGACACTGACAGGATTTCATGTTAAGCAAGGTGTTGGAGAATATGAACAGTATCGATATTTTCAACTCCAAGGATTATAAATATAAGCTACTTTTTGACAAAAATATCATCAGAAACTGATATATTATCCTTAATTATACACAAATTAACCAGAGATTATATATATATGGTATGTTTCTTATGTGGAGGTGTTCTTATATAGTCATGATACCCAAATTTTAGACATTTACATTCACATTATTATTATTAATGTTTTAATTTGCAATAGTTATATAATGCTATGCCAAAAAAATATGACAATGTATAAAAACATAGAATGAAGCCCTGGCCGGTTTGGCTCAGCGGTTAGAGCGTCGGCCTGCGGTACAGAGAGACCCGGGTTCGGTTCCCGCTAAGGGCGCGTACCTCGGTTGCAGTTTGTCCCCGGCCCTGGTCGGTCGTGCGGGTGGCAGCCACTCGATGCGTTCCTTTCACGTCGATGTTTCTCTCTCTCTCTCTGTTCCTCTCTCTCCCTCCCACTCTACCTGAACAAAAAATGGAAAAATGTCCTCGGGTGAGGACAAAAAACAAACAAACAAACAAAAACAACAACAACAACAACAAAAAACATAGAATGAATGCTTTGAGGCCAAATGCCGGTCCTTGTGGAGTTAGCTTCAGAACCCATGACCAGAATCAGACCACCTTGATTTCCAGCCTAGATGTATTTCCATGAACTGGGAGGGAGTAAAGACATTTCTTAGAATAAGTCAGACCCTTATAAAAATTATAAACATGATTTGTTTAATGACAGTAAACTGCCAATATAGCATTATCATTATTTTATTTATACGAAAGTAAATTTATAGTTTAATATATGTTGATGCAAAATAAAATCTATTGAAGAGTAGAATTGTGATTTGTACTTCATGATCTCAACTCTTCTTTGTTTTTGTCCTTTTGGGGAGTTAGGTAGACACATGCTCCGCTGAACCTCACCAACATTTACAGTTTTGCATCTCCAACTGGTAGAAGCGGTCATTTTAGCTAGTTTGTATTAAGAAAAAAAATGATGTTTATACTTAGATAACAAGGAAAAAAGGAAAAAAAAAAAAAAGGAATTTATTGTTACTAAATAATGCATACTTGTAGGTTCTCCACCACTATCTCCAATAAGGGAACTTTCTGTTCTCAAAAACAAAGTTGTGCTCAGATCCCCAAAGCATTAAAAAAAAACAAAACAAAAAAAAAAACAGGTAAAATCTTTGTGTTTGAAGTGAGTATAAGGAACCCAGAGCCCCACAAATTTACTAACCCCTCAGGTCTAATTTTAAACTCTGAGATGACACAATGTGTAAACTAACGATGTAGTTCAACCTCCTCAATTTACAAATAAAGAAACACAGCCCGCTTAGATTTGGTGGCTCATTTAACAGCTTATTGGTAGTAGAGCCAGGATAAAAACTCTGAACTTCAATACTGTATTTTTGTTGTTGTTTTCAGAGCATCACAGACATCTCACAAAGAACATATATTTCTTTTTTACATGCTCAAATTTTGTATTAGATTCAACAGACATAAGATTACCCTTAAAAATTGCTACAAAGCTTACTCTCAATTTCTGCACTTATCTATTTATTGAATTTATCACAGATGTCCCACCTTTTTTCCCCTGTTGACACTCTCCTCCCTACTTCAGTCTCTCCCTGCCTTCACCACACTGTTGTCTGTGTCCATTGGTTATGCATATATGCATATAAGTTCTCTGGTTCATCTCTTCCCATCCCTCCAACTTTCTTCCCTCTGAGATTTGTCAGTCTGTTCCCTACTCCCATGTCTGTAGATCTAGTTGAGCCTTAATACTTTTTAAAGCACAGTGTGCTACTCAGACTAAATAAAGTCCTATTGGTATATGAGTGAACTACCTTCTCTGCCAACACTATGGATAGAAAAGTTTAGAGAATGCCAACAGCGAGAGAAAACTTGACCTCTGAGTCCAAAAAAATCTACATGCTTTCCAATGTGTTTAATTCCACTTGGCTTACTTCATGGTGATACTTTCTCAGTAGGAAACGAGCAAGAAACATGAGATAGATAAAGAAAGAAAGACGAGGATACAGACGCCCGCACAAGCCATGCAGTCACCGTGCTGTGGAGGCGAAACTTGTAAAAAATACTGTTTTTTTTTTCTTAGGGCTCCTTCGAGGGCAACCCGTTATCTCTGTGCCTGGAACTGAGCTGTGCACACAATCAGGAACAGTGCGTTTTCATCATTAGACTGTACATGGTGGATTTTAATCTTTCTTATCTTTTTGAGAGCAGGTGAATCATATGGAAAATTCAAGTAGTGGCTAGGAAAAAAAAATATGTTTCTATTTACCAAGAAACCATTTTGTTCCAAATACGGTATGAGGTGTCTACTTGTTATTTTAGGATGTGTTCATTCCAGCATAGGATTTAATCCTGAAGAGTGAGGAGGACTTTGAATTTCTTTTTCTCTCCTCATTCGCTAGCTACCAAAAGGGACAGAGATCAGGAATTTCAAATCTTTTTTTTATATTTCAGGTTGTATGGTATTTTAGGATTTTCATTTGAAACTGAAATAAAATATGTTCTGCATTTTATGTTTGAAAGTGTTGAGTCCATTTGTGTGTCTGTATGCTAATGTGCACAGATATTTCAGTTACTGGGTTCTCATTTGAAATGACCTCTGCTGGTTCATCATGGTTTAGTTTATAAATGCCATCAATTCAAATGGCATGGTGGTGATGTTTCCCTTCGCCTAACTGTTAAAAAATTTTAGGCATATTTATGAGGAATTCTTTCACGCTTTTGTTGAATTCATCCCCTCCTCACAATTTCAACTGAAGGAAAAAACGATCTCAACTACACCCACAAGAATGTAAAACAATACAGCTGCTCTGGAGGACAGTTTGGCAAAAAGTTAAACAGAGAGGTGGACCCCAAAATTCCACCTCTAGGTATATGCCCCAAAGTATTGAAAACAGGGACTAAAAAGGATACTGGTATAGCACTGTTTATAAAAGCATTATTTTACAATAGCTAAACAAGTGTCCATTGACAAATGAATAGATAAACCAAATGTGGTGTATCTATATAATGGAATATTATTCAGCCATAAAAAATGAAGTTCTGATGCATGCTATATCCTGGATAAATCTTAAAAACACTAGGCTAACATAAATAAGCTAGACACAAAATGTCATATATTTTATGATTGTGCT